GGGAAGCCCGCGCTGGTGTGCTCCAGCGCCGTGGGGAGCTGGTCGTGCTCGCAGCAGAGGCGGCCGCGGGTGTGCTCGGGAGAAGGGCCGCCCAAGGCTGACCTCATGGCCTTCAGCCCCAGCCTGCCTCCGGGTCCCAGTTCTGCGGAAGAAATGAGTAGGATAGAAGCAGATTCACAACATTTGAAACAGGTGAGTTTCAAATTGTGTTACTATGATAACTTTCCTCACAGTTTCGTTTAAGATGTTTTCAATTGCAGCTTCAAGATTATTCTTTTATTTTGCTCGTCATTGCGGGATATAATGAGTGTTACTAATTATGGGTTACTCTTAATTGCTCATAACACGAGTCATGTGTTCTCGATATAGTTTGAGTATTTATTGCGTTCATGAGGAAATCCTACATTATGAATAATTTAGGTTTAGAAAACATTTCTAAACTGTGGTGAATGGCTGTTTAACAATTTAAACTTTTTAATATTTTATATCTTATTTTCATTTAATTAAAAAGAAAAGACTTATTTATTTATTCATATAGAACTGGGGTACAGGCCAGAGGTGCAGAAGTGGTGAGAGGATTCACCAGAGACAGAGTGGGGAGCAGAACAGGCAGATTGAAGTACACTGCTGAGGGGAGACAGCAGGGAGACAGGGGAGGTCTGCTGCGCCTTGTGGATCACCTCTGGGGCCGGGGATCAAACTCACACTGAAGCATTGTGGCTACTTGCAGTGATGTGCTTTAACCAGCTGTGTCAACAGGAAGGGCCCTCATTTAATACTACAAAGAATGCCACAACTTTTACATAACCCCCTTTTTTCCTCTTAAGATGACTTTTGAACAAAAAAATTTTTTTGGCTTGGACAGTCTTCGTTTCTGTAGGTTCATCAGCATTCCCTAATTGGTATCCAGCATGAAAACCCTGCTGATTTTCCAATCATATGTGCAGCCACATAATCGCTCAAACATAAGTACATCTAGTAGGGTTTTCATTTTTTTTGTTTCTTTACAAAGTTTGTTAATATTTCTAATTTAGTTTACATTTCTCAATGACCAGTAACTTGTGGAAATCCCTGTCAATCGGATACTTTTTGGTGGGGGACATACTTTTTTTTTATGCTTACAGAACTGGGGTACAGGCCAGAGGTGTAGTGGGTGAAAAGATTCACCAGAGAGAGTGGGGAGCAGAACAGGCAGATTGATGAAGTATACTGCTGAGGGGAGCAGCGGGTGAGGTCTGCCATGCCATGTGGGTATGCTCTCTGGTGGGGGATGGAATTAGTGCTGCAGTGGTGTAGGAGAGCTTCTCAAAGCGGTGCTTTAAGCCTTTGCGCCACCAGGGAGAGCCCGAATCAGATATTTTTAATAGTTATGTAATGCTCTGTATTTGGGTGTATATTACTCAGTTATCACCCATTGATGAGTACTTTTTTCAAGAGTTATTTTGCCTCCATCTTGTACTATCATTTTACATATTTCTTAAATACTGGTTTCTTTTTCCCCAAAATTCGAATTGATGCATCAGAGTATTAGTAATTTGAATTTATTGTGTGCTTTCCAAGCACACAATTTTTTAAAAAGATTTATTTATTCATACAGAACTGGGGTACAGGCCAGAGGTACAGAGGCAGTGAGAGGATTCACCAGAGACAGAGAGGGGAGCAGAACAGGCAGATCAACGAAGTACACTGCTGAGGGGAGCAGCGGGGCAGATCAGCAGAGTTCTGCCTCGCCATGTGGTCACCTCCGGGGCGGCGGGCTGATCGAACTCATGCGGAAGTGGCTTTAGCTTCTTAGTGCTGTGCTTTAACCCGCTGTCCACCAGGGAGGGCCTGTAGTACTTTTAATTTATGGACATGGGAGATTTTAGGTCTCCAGGTTTTAAGGTCTTCTCAGCTTTTATCTTGAATATTCACTAATAAATTAATTTCATTTATCATGCACTTTGGATATGACAGATGTGCAATATGATTGCAGAAATGAACTTTATTCTTCCATTATAAATCCAATTATTTTGGTCTCTTTCCCCTTCCATCTGAAGTTCTTTTTTGGACATTTTGCCCTAATACTTATTGTAGTGTATGCCTTTTGTTAACTAATTCACTCATCTTTTATTGAGAAAAATCTTTACTTCATTTTCATCTTTGAAAGTGTATTTTCACAAGTATTAGTTGAGTTTTTTCTTTCAGTGTTTAAAGCTCTCATTTATTGTCTTCTGGTTTGCATGACCTCTTAGGAATAATTTGCTAGCATTCTTATCTTTGTTTCCCTTTTGATCATCGACTCCCACCCCTACTCCAGATGCTTTTAAAGATTTCCTCTCATCATTGGTTTTGCATTTTGATTATGATGTACCTTAGTCTGTTTTTTTTTGTGTTATTCTAATTGAGGTTTATTTATGTTCTTGGATCTGTGGATTTATTGATTTTGCTAATAAATTGGGAAAATCTCAGTCATATTGAAAGATACTGTCCTTTTTTTTTGGTTATAGGTACTTTATTATAGATTCGGTGCTATGTATGTGGGTTTATTTCTGGGCTTTCCATTCTGTTCTGTTGATCCATGTATCTGTAATTGTGTTAATACCATATTGTTTCAAGTACTGTTGTTTTATAGTAAAGTTTGAAATCGGATAATATGATTTTTCTCCTTTTTTCTCAGGGTTATTTTTGCAAAATCTGAGACTGTTTGTAGTTCCATATACATTTCTATATTTATCATTGTTTCTTAAAAAATATTGCTGATGAGGATTGACTTAAAATATGTCATTGTAGGTATGATAGTAATTTTGATTATATTAATTCTTTCCATCCATGAACATGGAATAGCCCTCCATTTTTTTAAATTAAATATTTATTTATTTATTTATGCATATAGAACTGGGGTACAGGCCAGAGGTGCAGGTTTGGTGACAGGATTCACCAGAGACAGAGTGGGGAGCAGAAGAGGTAGACTGAGAAAGTACACTGCTGAGGGGAGCAGCAGGCAGGCCTGTAGAGGTCTGGCACCATGTGGGTCACCTCTGGGTTGGGGATTGAACACATGCTGAAGTGTTTTAGCTTCCTAGTGCTGTGCTTTAACCCGCTGCTACCAGGGAGGGCCTGGATTTATTTTCTTAATTTCTTTTGTTTCTTGTTTCTATATTAAAGAACATGTATTTTAATGTTGATTTTGTAACCTCTACTGTATTCATTGTTTCTTGTTGCTTTTTGATGGAATCCTTAGGTTCTTTTATATATATTATATGTAAATCTTTACCAAATTTGATCCCTGTTACTTCCTTTTTTGTGGCAAAAATAAATACAATATTGATTGTAGGTTTGTGATAACCTTTATTATATTGAGGTAGATTACATCTGTTTCCATCTTGTTTGGAGTTTATATCACAAATGATGCAGAATCTTATCAAATACTTTCTCTGAATCTATTGATGTTACCTTGATTTTTATCCTTACTTTCTTGGTAATATATATATTATCATTTAACTTATGTATTAAACCATCTTTGCCTCCCTGGAATAAATCCCACTTAGCTGTTTTAGCATAGATTAGGTGCTGGTATGTTTGTGCATTTATATTCTTGTAATAAACTAATTTGATTTGTTAGTACTTTGTTGAAGTTTTTGCATCAATATGCATCACAGATATTGATCTATAATTTTCTTGTGCTGTCTTTGGTCTTAGTATTAGGGTAATGTTAGCATTCTTAATATATATCAAGGAGTTTCTTCCTGTGTTTTATAAACAATTTAAGCAGGATAAACATTGATCCTTCTTTAAAGACTTGATAAAACTTATTTTTGAAGTCTCTTATTCCTGAGCTTTTGTTTTTTGAAAGATTTTTAAAATTACTCTTTCAATTTCCATGTTTGTGATCAGTTTCATCTATTTCTTTCCAAGTTAGTTTTGGTAGACTATATTGATCTAGATATTTGTCTATTCAATTTATTTACTAGCACAGTTTTTCAAAATAGTGTCATATAATCTTTTGTATTTCTCTGCTATTAGTGGTGATTTTCATCTGTTGTTTGTGATTGTTTATTAATTTATTTTAAAGATTTATTTATTTATGCTTACAGAACTGGTGTACAGGCCAGAGGTATGGTGGGTGAGAGGATTCACCAGAACAGACTAGGGGAACAGAATA